CACGGCGGAGTGCCCAAGACGATGGGCTTACTCAAGAGGAAGTACCATTGGCCAGATATGGCTAAGGACGTCCAAGACTATGTAAAGACATGTCCAACATGTCAGCAGGTAAAAGCCGTGACTAAGGCTAGTGGGGGCTTGTTGCAAAGCATCCCAATTCCAGATCGTCCGTGGAAATGTCTTACGATGGACTTCATCACGGGACTCCCCCCAAGCGAGGGGTTTGATGCGATATTCGTGGTGGTGGACCGATTTTCGAAAATGGCACATTTCATACCCACCACAACGGAGGTGGATGCGGAAGGTGTGGCGAAGCTATTCTTCGAACAAGTGGTTCGAGTGCGGGCAAGACCGGAAAAGATCATCTCAGATCAAGATAAGATCTTCACCAGTAAGTTCTGGAGGACTCTCCTGGAACAGTATCGCACCAAGTTGAAATTCAGCACAGCCTATCACCCACAGACAAGTATGGGGTATTAAGTCAAGTTGTTGGAACTAACACTTCTTGACAGACGGACAAACGGAAAGGGTGAATAGGCAGCTGGAGGATTATTTGCGATGCTATGTCTCGGGAGACCAGACCGATTGGGTAAGTCATTTGGGACTTGTGGAAATGTGTTATAACAACTCACCACATTCGAGTATCCGGGTGAGTCCATGGGAAGTCATCAATGGGCGAGCTATTGAAGGTCCTGTGGAACTCGGCGTGGCCGAGTATCACGGAGAGTTGCCCGCAGTGGAGGCATCACGGCGGAAAGACTCAGCATTTGGAATCTAGTGAGGGATCCTTGGAATGGGCTCAACAAAGGCAAACCAGATACGCGAACCAGAAGCGTCGGGATGTAGAGTTCCAAGCTGGGGAAAAAGTGTGGCTGAACACCGAGAACCTCAGACTACCAAGTGGGATCAGCCGAAAGTTGACCCAAAGGTAAAGATGCATGTATTCCTGTAAATGAATTGATCTTGAGTTCCTTAAGCAGGTTTGCGGGGCTTTACGAGATTGAGGCACGAATCGGTAAAGTGGCTTACCGACTCCGACTTCCTCGAGAGATGGGGAAGATGCTCAGTGTTCCACGTGAACTTACTCAAGCTGTACTTTGAGGATCCGCTTCGTAAGGACCAAGTGAGACCTTTACTTGAGGTTATCCAAGGGGAAGAGGAATACGAAGTCGAGGCCATCCTCAATGCGCGCAAGAGCAAGCGACAAGGACACAAGGTGAGAGAGTTCCATGTGAAGTGGAAAGGATTTCCACACTGCGAAGCAACATGGGAACCGGAGAAGAACCTAGCGAATGCACGAGATCTAGTGGAGGAATTTTTGCAAGGCAGAACTCTATGTACTTATGCAAAATTCAATTAAAAATATCAATTTGCAAAGTTGAGCAAATGGCACATGTTGGGACCCGAAGGCGCACCGAAGGTAAGCTAATTAGCATGGGTTGGATAGGTCGACCAGGCGTAGGGCACTACGCCCGACTCCCCGCGGGGATGTCGAATCCGTAGACGTATTCTATGGAGGTTGGGTTCGAGTCCCAACCCCCTAGTAAAGCAAGGCTGGGTTCAAGTCCCGACCCTATACTAGGGCGTGGTGAGGTGAGGGGTATAGGGACACCTATATTCCGTTGTCATGGGCTCTTGGCCGGGGAGGCTAACTTAGGCACACCGTTAAGTGGGGGGATGCCCCCGGAGACATGGTCAACAAGTCGTAGGATAAAACGAGACGTTCGATGTGGGCATCGAACTTCTTCTATGGGTGGTGGAGTTGTAAGGAGCCAACTTGCCGAGGTGTCGTAGGCTAAAGGAACCCCAAAAGGCCTTGGGTGGGAGTGAGCATGGGCTTGAGTGGTGCCGGAGGGGCCACCCAGGGAAGTGCTCAAGAGCAACTCCCACTCCCGAAAAGGAAACCGACTGTGGTGCTCCTGGCTCATGTGGAGTGGTGCCCCACTTGAGTACCTTGTGGCTCATTGGTCCTCGCCCTCCCTAGGGGCTTGGGCCTTCCCTTCGGGATGGAAGTGGGGGGGTAGAGGTACCCATACCGGGCCGTTAGGCCACGGTGTTTCGCCCCGACGTCCCGAAGCAAGTGCTCCACCCAAGGCTTGGGATTTAGAGGGTCCCATGATCAAGTCTTGTGGTACCAAGGGGTGTTAGGAATCTGGAGGCTTGGTGTGCTTGGCTGCTTGTGCCTGCGGGGAGTGTAGCCGAACCTTAAGTCCAGTCTAACCCGGGGAGGGGGATTGGGAGAGATTTGGGAATCCGTGGATGGATGGCTAACACTCTGTTGCTCGTGCAGTGAGTAGTTGAAACTGAGTAGGACCAAGTAGGAGTTGGTACAATAGGCGAGAACCTTGGCGAGGGAACTTAGTAAAAGCCAAGGCAGTGTTGGTCAGATAAACGAGGTAAGCTAGCAAATTGGAAAGGAAAAATTTTGTGGCTTACAGAGTCATTCTCTTTGGTTGCTTACAATCCACCACGCCTCCCTGCAAGTTCACGCCCTCGTGAATGGAAGTAGAGCCGTAGCTCTCCTGAGAGCCCAACTCTCTTGACACTTTACCCCTCAGGTCGAGCCCAGTGGGAGCAAACTGGACCAACCAGATGTCAATCAACATGTGGTGAGATTCCCCTAGCCAACCAATAGAGTCGGACCCAAGACCCTCTTCGATACCAAATGTAAGCTCCTGAGTTTGGACTTCCCGGGAGGTCACCCAGCTCAGTACGATTCAAACCCAAGGATGCTTAATTCCAACTATCCCAAGACCCTTAACCGATTGGAAAAGGAGGTGCACTCTTGTTCATGGGCCCTTTTCCCTTTATATTTGAAGCCCATAGATCGTTTCTCAAGTCGTTCTCTTTGGTTGCTTACATCAAGTAAATGAAACAAAACTAAAGAAACACAACAACAAAAAAAGAAGAAAAAAGAAAAACTTTTAATCCTATTACTAACAAACACAGAAACACTTCGGCTAGAAGCCTCCCATATAGATAATCTAAGAACATTTCTGATTGTAAACACACTTCCAGGTTAGAGTGTCTCTTTTCTTATGGTTTGAGACAACTAGCTTTCTGGACTAAACCTAAACCCTAAACCCTACACTTTCTCCCCACGCTTTGGGCCTAGGAGAGTCCTCCCCCCTTCCTTCCTCTGTTGCACGGCAGGTGGGGCCCCTCCCCTTTCCCACTGCATGACGCTAGCCCTTGCCAAGCAGCCACACCGCCCTTGAGACTTGCCTCCCTTGAAAGCGTGGAGGACCACATTGCTGCCTCCCTCCCCCTCGCCTGGTAAGCATGCAGATGTGGTCCCAAGGCCATGCCCATGGACTGCACAGCATGACTCTTACCGAATGCTGGAGGGTTTAGGGTTTAGGGTTTTTAGGGTTTGAGGTTTAGGATTTAGGCGTGTTTAGGATTTCACGCATTTAGGGCCGGTGCAGCAATCCAGCAAGATTGCGGCACCACTTTATACAATCCACATTCTCCATGTGCCATTGTTGATTTATACTCGCAGTCCCAAGTGTTGGCAATGTGTTTCGTGGGCTTAGTACTGCCAGGTACTTTCTCCTCAAGCTTTTATTCCGGTGATTTTTCCATGCTGATAATAATGAGATCTTCACTCCTAAAGTATGGTTACTTGGCTGGGGTCCAGACGGTGAGCACCGAAGAAACCTTCGCTGCTTGTCTCGTGCTCCACAACAAGAGTTCCTCCAGGCTCGATTCCAATTTTTGTTTTCCATCTCGCACTTTGGAAAGTACTTGGGGTGGCTTGTCTCGGTATCCCAGCCAGTGCTTCCGACAAGTTAAATGCTCCAAAGAGTTTGCATTCGTGTGCTTGATCTTGTAAAGGAAAAAGCCAGGAACAAAGATTGAGTTTTTGAGTTGAAGAATCAAAATGAAAGTGGGAATTTCTCTCTAGAGTCATGGAAGGATACGAAGCTATCATCCTTTAAACACCGAGGTTTCATCACCGGCGGCGTCGCTTTCACCGTCACCTTCACCATGAAAGCTTGTCACTGGCTGAAATCTTTCACCTGTCATGGCCGTTTCTATGGACCATCACCATCACCACCACTTGTTGGAAGCACGATCTTTACTTATCTCAAGCAAGTCGGGCTCTCGAGCTCGGAATTCAAGATGGAGGAGCTTCAGCTGTGTCCAGCAATGTCTTTCCGGTACCTGAGAAGAACAATATTTCCTCTACAAGCTGCGATCTTGCTTGTACTTCTTTTCGGCCCCGATGCTGTGACAATGCAGGTTGTTTTGTTGAGGCTGTTCTCAAGGTCTTCGTATTTCTGCGATGAAACTGGAACCATAAAGAAAAATTTTAGAAGAGTCTGAACGACAAACAGTAATCCGAAAGCGAAAAAAGCGTAAGAAATCTAGCAACGAAGAGAAAGAAACTTCTACACACAAAATCAGAAAACTACCACAAAAACAATGACAATCCATCTACGCAGCGAATGATGTAACACAAACTGACTGGCACGTCGCACATTCGCTTGAGTTAAAGGGGATTTATTGAAATACGCTAGCCCTAATCTCGGGTCGCAGCAGCAGTTTCGATCCGGACTTTGACGACTGGCGCTCAGGCAAGCACTCTTATTCGCAGTCAGACCATCCTAGCACACGCAGGAGGGCCAGCCGCAGGCGCCGTAGCACCAGGGACGACGATAGGCATAGCAGCAGTTCCAGGCGCAGGACTAACAGCAGGAGTGACGATGGAATGGATCCCAGGCCCAGGACCAAGGAGCCTAGCAGCAGGGACAACGATGGAATGGATCCCAGGGAGCCTAGCAGCAGGATGGATGCCTCTAGCTGGAGCAAGAGGTCACGCTCCCCTGAGCGCAGGCCTAGCGGCAGCAAGCGTCCTTGCATGGAGGAGAAAGCCACTTGCACAGAGGAGGTGGAGGACGAAGCCATTGCCGGCTGGGCCCCCATTCCAGGCAAGATCCACCCGGCAATGAGGTGGAAGCCAAGAAATATGGCTTCTTTCCAGCTCGTGCGAAGGACACTCTTCTAGACGAGGATGGAATGAAGAGTGACCTCTTCTACTGTGACAAGGCTGCCTACCAGGTGTTCAACGACGCCCGTCTCCGAGGAACTGAGCTGGGCGCATGGGTGGAAAAGCGTCTCGGCCTGGGTGTTTTGTTCGTACACCACAATTACGACAACTTACCGGGCTGGAGGGTGATCACATTGTTTGGGCGACACAAGGCAGCGTTGCCAACCCGAGGAAAGAAGGTGATGTTTACAAGTGTTTACTCGGAAGGTTTGTACCGGCTGATTATTCTTTTACTTGCAGATTATTCCTGAATGGCTCAAGGTCCATGGCGAGCAGGATGATGCTGAGTGTGTAGCGTCGGCTATGCTGTTTGCAGAAGCAGCCACTGGTTTAGACGTGAAGGGCTGCTCCTTGACCAAAGTTTTCGTGTCTGGCAACACCAAGTTTGTGGAGCTGCTCAGGAAAGACTACGCTGGTTTGCAGGAGCTTTTTGTGCAGCGATTGGCAGTGGACAGGCCTCATGACGTTCCATTCCGGGTGTGGCACGTAACGAGCCAGAGCTGCTCTCAAGCCGAGGAAGAATGCTTCAACGAATCGTGGCGAGACTACTCGTATCAGGGGGAAGGCTGGGCGTGCCTGAGGGGGATTGGAGTCCCATCTACAGTGCCTGCGTGGAAAGCTGCTGTTAGAAGTTTTCTGGAGCGCCGCAAATGCAATATCGACAATAAAGTTGAATAAAGGTTTGTCTAAAGAAAAAGACTTCTGCAATCCTTTTGATCTTTTAGCTCGTCAACGCCTGAAAAATTCGTGTCGACTTACAAATGCCAAAACAAAAAACAAAGCAGACTGTAAGAATCGCAGCATGACTACCGCGTTGCATTTGCGAGAGGAAAGTTCTCAGTTGTTAGTAGCGAAAAAAAGAGCTTTTTTTTGCAGACCTGTGCGATGTTTATCACGAGACGAATCTCTAACTCATTGTATTCATGACAAGCTCGGATGAGAGGCAAAGCCCACGAAAGGAATCAATAACCGAAAATATCTTCGCTTCTCTCTTCCCAAATACCTGGAGGGAGAATATGCGTAGTAAATTCGATGAGCTCATGCTCCTTGAATCGACCTTTGCGCCGCGAGACGTGAGCACCGGTGACGCTGGTAGCTCATCTTGTGCTCAGACGATCTGACCTCCGCCTTGCCTTGTTCTTCAACCCCATTCTCTTGCGCCGGCTCCTCCGCGCGTAATCTCTCCTGATCGAGCACACCGAGCAGCGACCATGCCCCATCGGCCTACAGCCCTAAAAGTTCGTATCGCAGCAGCGGCGTCGAACCACCCGCAGGAGGTTTCACAGGCCAGAGTAGCAGCAGGGACGACGATAAGCGTAGCATTGATCCCAGGCGCAGGAGCAACGAGCCTAGCAGCAGGTTTCACAGGCCAGAGCTTCCAGCGGGCAGGCATAAGGATTATTCCAGGCGCAGGACTAGCAGCTAGGAGCCTCGCAGCAGGGCCAACGATGGAATGGATCCCAGGGAGCCTAGCAGCAAGATGGATGCCTCTAGCTCGCGCAGGAGCAAGAGGTCACGCTCCCCTGAGCGCAGGCCTAGAACTAGAAGGCGTCCTTGCATGGAGGAGGAAGCCACTCCTCCATGTCCTCCATGCACGGAGGAGGAGGACGAAGCCATTGCCGGTTGGGCACCGTTCCAGGCAAGATCCACCCGGTGATCGGACTCGATGAGGTGGAAGCCAAGAAGTATGGTTACTTTCCGGTTCGTAACATGGGCACTCCTCTGGACGAGGATGGAAAGAAGAGCGATCTCTTCTTCTGCGACAGGGCTGCATACCAGGTGTTCAACGATGCTCGTCTTCAAGCTGGGCGCTTGGGTGGAAAACCGTCTCCGCCTCAGTGTCTTGTTTGCACACTACAACTACGACAAGGTGCCGGGCTAGGGTAATTACACTGTTTGGGCAACACAAGGCAGCCTTGCCAACCCATGTAATTCTAAAAGTGTTTACTCGGAGAAGGTTTCTACTTCCTGATTATTAGTTTCCTCACGGGTATTCCCGAATGGCTCAAGGTCCATGGCGAGCAGGATGATTCTGAGTGTGTAGCATCGGCTATGCTGTTTGCAGAAGCAGCCACTGGTTTAGACGTGAAGGGTTTCTCCTCGACCAAAGTTTTCCTGTCTGGCAACACCTAGTTTGTGGAGCAGCTTCAGAGAGCCGTAGCAGCAGCGGGCCAGGTAGCAGCAGGATGGATGCCTATAGCTCACGCAGGTCCCCTGAGCGCAGGCCTAGAAGGCGTCCTTGCATGGAGGAGGAAGCCACTCCTCCATGCACGGTTTAGGGTTTAGGGTTAAACCCTAAACCCATGTCCTCCTCCATCCACGGAGGAGGAGGACAAAGCCATTGCCGGGCAGGGGAGCACGTCACAGGCGCGGCGCGACTAGAAGAACTTGGAGAACTTATATTGAAGTGTAGAAAAAGATACAGTTTCCTCCGCTAACCAGAAGCATATATACCTGTAAGAGCTTACCATCATGGATCAGATGCGCACCACCATTCTGCTGTGTGTAAGCGTAAGTCACATAGAGTCTTGGCTGTTATCACTTCTTTTCAAATTCCAACCCTCCCTCTCAGCCGAGACGGCACACCTTTTCTTTTTTTTTCTTTTTCTTATAATTATTTTGCTTCGTCCTGCACTATACCAAACATCCCACGTAACCTCACAAAGTTTCACTTCTCCAAAGGTTTTGTGAACATATCAGCAATCATGTTGTCACTGCAAATATAAACAGGTTTGATCTGCAACCTACTGGATTATGAGCCACTTGAATTGCAGAACTATTATCACAAAATATTACTGTAGCTTCAGGTTGTGTAGTTCCAATATCAAACAAGAGTTTCCTAACCCAAAGAGCTTCTTTTGTAGCGGATGCCAAGGCCATATATTCTGCTTCACAAGTAGATTGAGACCATTTTTTGTTTCTTGCTGCTCCATGTTACTACTCCCCTGGCAATCTTAAAACACCAGGTTCTTGATCTACGATCATTCAATATCCCCAATATAATCAGCATCTGTGTAGCCGACTAAACCAACAAGTTTCTTTTCATGGCCAGAATATTTAATTCCCAGCTCTGTTGTATCTACCAAGTATTTCACTATATGACGAAGCATGGAGCGGACCCACACAGGCCATCACAAAGGCGGCGGGCCCCGGCTCTTTTGGTCCGGCCGAAGAGCTGCATACCAGTGCCTTAAACCAGGGTCTTGAATATACTGGCTCACTGAGATAACGGCATTGGATATATCTGGCCTGCTTACTGTGGCAAGGTAGAGCAGATTGCCCACTAACCTTCGAAAAGGAAATTGTTTCATTTCTTCTCTCTCTTTGTTTGAACTCGGAGACATTGTCTTAGACAAACATTGAGCAAGTGAAGTTCCAGGTGGAGTGCTTACTCATTGAAAATTGTGAAGATACTTATTATATTCTTGCACAAGTTTTGTAGTATCCCCAAGCTCTGGAAGAAATGGATCGAACAAGGAGTTGAAGCAAATCAGGTGGTGGGCAACATGCTTGCGTTCGGATAGTGGTTCCAGGAAGAAGCATGCCGATAGTGCAAGGAGTGTGGCGAGCTGGAGACAGCGTGACATGCCCTAAGGGAATACGACGTGGCGAGAGAAGTATGGCGACAGATCTTCAAGGCAACGCAGGAACTCGGAGACATTCCAGAGTTTGAGGCCCGGAGTGGGGATATCCTCCATTGGTTTGAGGGAGCTAGAGGTCCAGCCATTGGTCCAACTTAGAGGCGTATTCGCTGCTACGAACGACATAGATGGAACATGCGAGTCCGGTGGGATGTGACAGAGGCTGAAGTTGGGATGTCCATCTGGGAGGCATTGGGTCAGGAGCACTGGTCCATTTGGAGGGCAACAGGAGTGCAGGCACTCTGGGAGGCTTGGAACCATTGTCGCTTTGATGGGCAACAAGTGAGAATATCAGCAGTGGTGGCATCATGGTGGAGACTCACTCTTGCAGTAGTGCGTCTCCACTACACCATCTTGAAAGAGCATGCGAAACCAAGGCAGCTCGAGAAATGGAGATCTAGGTGGCTCCCATGCTTCGGCAAATTGGGAGGTGGCGAGATTCGCTGACAATGGTGCTCCCCGGACTCTGTTCTAAAGTCAGCTCATGCGGGAGACTTGGACATCAACATGATTCGCTCGAGACGACCACGTCCACTTCTACTCTAGGACTAGGTCCAGCTACAACATATGAGGATCACGTAGAGTAACTCATTGAAAGGGTGGCATGCCCAGTTTTTGTATTAGTCCCATTGGGATATGGGGAATGTACATACACGTTCAGCGATCTCACCGGATTCCAGCATCTTTGACCCTAAACGCACCTAAACCCCTAAACCCCTAAACCCTAAACCCTAAACCCACTCCTTGCTCCATCCATTTCTTCCAGAGCTTGGGAATCTCCCCTCGGGCCTCCTCACTGCTGGTCAAGAGACTATCCCATGCTTCCTTGACTTCGAACAAGAAGAAGCTCTTCATTCCTCATTTCCATGTTGTTGAGTCTTAATCCAGATCCTCAATGAGTTGTTGTCACCACCATCTGAGAATGCCATCCCCCTCTAGTGTGGCCATGCATGCAAAAGAGATTGGTGTTGAGAAACTAGGCTAGAGGAGGTGGGTGGGCTTTTTTTCTTGGTGTGAGGCCTCACACTAATGTTTTTGTGTGAGGTTGGACACCATCCATTTGTAGATTGGATTAAAGTATTATGGAGGGATGAAGTCATTTTCTTGGCATGAGGCCTCATGCTATTCATTTATATGCATTTGTTTCTTACTACTTTAGGTGTCTAGGTGAGTAATCTTACTCACCAATTCATCTTTGGGGTAAATGTTAAAACAAGATTGCTCCTCAAACACTTGCAAGACTGGGGAAACAATGGAAGGTTGTACATTTAGATGTTTGCTTAGCCATTGCCATATTTGTAGTGTCATTTTTATTTCACTTTAAGGTTCACAAGTTACACACTTTATTTCTATTCCTATCTATAGTGCCTAAGGAAATTGTTTGAAGGCAGCTAGGAAAAGCTCTTTGCAATGGGTTGGCTCACTAGAATGAACAAACCAAGCTAGGGGATCCGGGAAGCACTACTTTGGAAGGATGCCATCGAGAATTTCCCTAATTTCTCCCTTCTCTCTAATCTCGTGAGAGGCTAGCTTCGGTGTCGAGAGAAACTGATGCTGTCCAAGTCCGAGTGTGTGGATCTCGTCACTTCCGCAATCAATTCCTCACAGGTGATCGATGCCCATTCCCGGATTGAGATCGCCCAGAAGCAAATGCTGCCTGGTGATTGCTGCTACCTCTCCAATCTCGTCATCCTTCGGTATGGCAAGCTGGGCAAGATCCAGTGCGCGCGAGCAGTGTTTGACTCCATGGAGTGATGCAATTGCCACTTGTGGGTCATTATGTTCTTGGCACACGCCCAAGAAGGGCATCTCGCCACTACCAAGGATCGAGGCAAGGTTACTGCTGCATGGTGGATTGCTTGGGGCGAGCTGGGTGTGTGGAAGAGGCTGAGGAACTTGTGAGGAGCATGCCTTACAAGCCAGTTTCAGTGGATTGGATGTGCTTGCTGGGAGCAAAGTCTAGAAATTGAGGACAAAGATCTCAAGGTGTTGTTGCTAGAACAAGCTTTAAGTGTAGATTCTAGGAATTCTACTAGCAAATAGTAGCAATTTTGTTTGAAACTAGTG